CACAGAGGTGCTTGTACTTCCTGCTCGACAGCCAAAAATTCCAAACAAGATCATGTAATAACTCACATAAGAACCAACCAAACAGCGCTGTTAGGTTGGTTGGCTATTGTTTGGCATATGTGTTGGCTCCAGCTTGGTCCATCTCCTGTCTACCAAGGCCTCTCTGAACAAATAATGACACCCTCTTCCCAAAAGATGATGTCCCTCAAATAACCAACTTGTGGCGTGACCAGTCCCACAAAATAGATCAGAAAAAGCTGCTAATTTAGTGCTAGTGACCCATATACATTCTCAGATGGGACGGCCCAAAAAAGGACTTTTCTCAGACAGTTGATATGGAAAATTCCAGCAACATCAACATATACATTTAAATGAATAGAATATTATCTTATGATAAATTGTTACAGTAATTGTGCTGGAGAGATGAATGATAAATGAATAACTGGATACATCCCTAACCCAAACCCTGAGCAATGCAAATGGTGAAATATTCTCACCTCCCCTGTCTGTCTGTCGTGATCCATGCATGGCTGCCCATCCTTTGGTGAGTAAATGGTATACCTGCAGCATTGAAGATCACGTTACTATACTGTCCAGCATTCCCAGTAACACAAATGCCGCCAGTAAGAAACACAGCCAGGGCACAACCCACCTTTTACCGAATTTGATCTTCTTCCTCTCCTTCAAAGTGACAAACTGCCACCTCACAAAGGAGTCATAGAAGGGGTTGACATCGGTCGTGATGAAAGAACGTCGCCAGTCCACCTGCAGCAGAAGAAAGACCACGCAGCTCAAGGCATGCTTCCTGGGCATATCGGCTGTATGAACAAAGGTCATTGGTACAGAGTAGCAAATTATTCATTACTGATAAAGCACCACTATATACAAGAGCAGCAAGATAAGCATACAACCAATCTGACAATTGCATACACGTTGCTACAACTTATCTTAAGGATGAATTGTGCTAATCTTACACAGCAACATAGAAATTCCTGACTAACTGCTTAAACCAGAGCAGAGCACAAAATGATCGCCATAAGTCCTCATTACAGCATGACAGTGAAAAGAGAAGCAACATAAGCGCTAGACAAACTTCCAGGACACTTGCATTTGAAGTGCTGAACATCTAGACAACCTACCAAAACTCTTCAAAGATCAACTTTGCTTAATTTAGGAATAAAACACTGTAATGAAAAAGGACAAATCACAGATCTTAATGGAGGTGTGCCAGACCAACTGACAGTGTGTTTCTGATCAAATCTTGCAGTGAGGAAGCATCCTCGCAGCCACCTTGACTCCCATGCTCTGCAGGTCCTGGACGGCCAGGGGAGGGAAGTAATCCAGCCAATGGGCAGCATCGGCGAACTTGGCGATCTCCTCGTCTCGCAGGCCCAACGACTTCATGATGTCCCACTGGAACTTCGCCCCTCCGGATTTGGCTACGGCTTTGCTCTGAGGACCATACGGAGGAAAATAAACACTTAAGAAGGTGCGCACATATTAGTCATGGGAAAAACTGATTTTACATTAACCCATTTCAAATGTAATGTAACATGTATTGAACTACACTGGTTACTCGCCAGCCATGTTGAAAGTCTGAGTCAAACATTTTTGGTTTCAGACATTATCCACCCCATTTTGTCTTACCAAATGTGGAGTGAAGCTCAACCCATCAGTAAATGTAACACACCTGTTGAACTAAACTAGGCCACTGCAATGCGAGCTGGCGGGCAGTGTGAGAGGACAGCCGATCAAACCCTCACCTTCTTGCCCTTGGACTTGTCCTTAATGACGACCTCCTCCCCCTGTTTTGGCTTGAGCTCTTCCTCCTCCTCCTCTTCCTCATCCGGAAACTGGGGCGGGTTGCCATAGAGCTCCATCTCTCTCTTCAGCTTGTCTGCGCAGGCCTGGATGGAAACAGGCCTTAAAGTACCCGCACGTGCAGGCAAAATGCTGCAGTGCAAGGCAAATCATATCGCCTTTTGCTGAAAAGAAATGGATGACTTACTTTGATAGGCATCCCTGTGCAGTGCAGCCCAAAAGGAAAGAGACATTGCTTCCCTTTCAAACGCTGGTATCCAACTGCAAACTGCAAGCAAAGAGGAATCAGAGTCAGACATATGCAAACACAGTGACATTACTGGTCACAACATTGAGGAGCATAAGGGACTATCCTGGGATGCAGCGGTGTGTATAAAGGTGCCCTCACCTCACATTTTGACAGGCAAAAAGTGTGGCCAAGATGAAGTCTTCCATTCATGTAAGGGTAGGGGAAGGTGACAAAGTACTTGTTCTTACTGCAAGTAAGACAACAGTAATAAAAAGGTTAGCTTGATGTACACCTAGAGCCAGAACCACCCATACAGCGATGCAACGAGCTTTGGCTAACATAATGCACAAAAATAAGGCTTAATCGCATCCAACAGTAATGCAATTAAATCTGTGGTTCGTTTGGTATTTGGCTCTGGCTGCGTTGAAAAATGTAGTTCTGCAAGTGCGAATTAAAAGCAAATCTAGTTAATGACTATCTTGTAAGCAGAGAACACAGAAGACCATTCCGTACGAATAGTAGGTAGCTCCTAGCAAGCTGGCCAAGTTGCTAGCCAGTAGAGCTAACGTTGATAATATATTCTGTTACACACAAAAAGTAATTCCCTTTCATTGCATGCACTTTCAAAACAACCACAGATATCTAAAACCAGACAAACCATTTTCGAAAGGCAATTACTCAGAAAATGTCTAAATCTGAAAGTCAGGCTGAAAGTATACCCTGAAATGACTTATGCTCCACTAGGAGAGAAATGTGCCGAAAAGAGTGGTGAGGTCAGCTAGCAAGATAACATTAGCTAGCAAGCCTTTAAGAATGCTCACTTTTTGCTTCTCCCTATAGTGCTGGGTGCATCGTTTTCAAAAACCCTTTCTTTTTGCCATTTTTGTTGGATTTCTTCTTCAATCTTTCGGAGGAAATCTAGTTTGGCGGTGCCTTTTCGTTCCTGAAACACACACAAAAAGGGTAGGATCCGTGACAGTGACAGCTGCTAAACAGTACAGCCAGCTAGCCAGCTAGCATGTAAGTTGGCTAGCTACTTAGCTAACTGAATATCGACATCATACAATGGGCCGAAGTCAGAATACAAAGGCAAATATGGCAAAGAAGCATATTAAAAATAAATAAGAGCTTACCGTCATTTTGGTCGCCTCACAAAGACCTTTCAAGCGTGTAACAAACTCAGCAGAACAGACGAAAACCCACGCCGGTTCCCCCGTACAGAGCTGATGAAACAGCGACGGAACAGAGGTCAAGTTAGAGTCGCTTTGCACGCTGGGTAAGTAGTTTCGAAAGGGCTAAAATCAGTGCCACACGTACTTCAGTTAAACTACAAACCCCATAACTAAAAATACACAACCTTTACCCTTCTCATTTCCCGGGGAGAGGTTTGTGGGTATCGTAGTTCGGCCTTTTAGTCCGCGTTAGCCCATTGACCCGATTTAAACTTGAGAGGTAACAGAGATAACAGTCCCATAATAGACAATATAGATAATAACAAATAGACTGAAAGGCAAATTTTTGTAATGTTATTAGCAAAATGCTTGTTTCAGCTAGTTATAAAAAGTTATAACGAGGGTTTCCGTCATAAGTGAATCATTTGAGATGAAAATAATATCTCGTTTTGCATCTACAGGGCAACTGACTATCCTGACGGGGTCGCTCTTCTCAGACACGGTCCCTGTCTGTACTGGTCCCTCACTGGTGAAAGAACTCTCCACAGAGGTGAGGGCAGCAGAATCAGCAGAATCACTGGCCATCTTCCGAGGCAGACTGAAGACCCACCTCTTCAGACTGCACCTCGGTTATACTTCAATCCCCACCCCCTAACACCTGCTACCCCTATTATTTGATGTCACTTTTACGTATAGTATTGTGATTTATATATTTTAATACAAAAATATCATAAAATTATTTGTTAGTCTATGCTCATAAGCCTGTGGTTCCATTCATGAGGAACCAAAGCAACCACTAATGCTTACTATCAAGTGTGTTGAACCGAGAGTCAATTCATATAATCACAGCATATACAAATAAAATACATATTGTTTAGAAAAAAAGTTTGAATGTTGATATAATACCATGTAACTTAGCATCTTAAATCACTTCAGGAGTGCACTTTTTAACACTGTGTAGTATTAATAGAGAAGATGTCTTCCATCCTGATGGAATTATCTTCAAATGATAAAATAAAAAAAAAAATAGCGGGAGTAACTGGGCCATACTGGTTTGCATAAACTATGTAATATAATTGTGTAACTTGCATAACTTAACTTACCAAAAGCACATTACTGTGTTGTGGTTCTTTGCTGTAGCATAAAAGACGACAAATGAAAATCAAATCAATGTTCTGATTAATTCAAAGGATTTGTCCACTCCAAAGCATCTTTGCAAACCAGAAGTGCAATTAAACCTGTTGACTACAAACATGCAATTTGGAGATACCTGCAGGAATGAAATTGAAAAGGACAAGCTAATCTGGAGACACTGTGCTACTTAACAATGACAGCAAAGCTTCAGAACATTGACATAATTAAACCCACAATAATTAGTCAATGAGATCAACACTTTAACCCTTGGCCACTGTGCCATGAAAATATGAAAAATGTAGGTCCACTCAGAGGTCCTCAGATGGAGTCCTGGTAACTTTACAACAAACAGGCTGAAATCTAAAATGCCTCAGATACCACATGTTAATTAGCCTACATTAGGAAATGGAAAGAACATGAATGTTCTCTTCTTCCATTAGAGTTTCCAAGGAAAGCTAAAGACATGGAGGGAATTTGAAGCAATGATATTTTCTTTCAATTATCAACAATTTAGCACTTGAGGATGATGCCTGCAATGTCTACAGTACAAAAAGGAATGGACACTTTGGATTTCCCTTCCCGAATCTAAGAAGGAAAGGGAAGGAGCAAGAGTTGGACCTTGCTTCTTAAGGGGTTCCAAAGAAAGGCAAGGATAGGCATTAAACCCATGATCTCAGGTTTACAAAACCAATGCCTTACCACTTGGCCACCATGCCCACAAGAGGGTTCATAATTCCTTGCTAACAGCATTTTCTGTGTCATGGTTCATTGATATAGCACAAAAGAATACAAACGGAAACAAAAACAGTCCTAATGGTAAGAAGAGACTTGTCTACCTACATGGCTAAGAGCAGATAGCTTGGCAATTAGAATGGCGTATTAACTTCCTAGCCACACACTTTTTCAGCAATTGGTTCAATAGGACTAGAGAACTGACAACAAGACCCCATCTGACAAACAGGAGGTCAAGATTTAAGCACGGATGGGACATGAACCCATGATCTTTTGTTTACGAGTCCAACATCTTACCACCAGGCCACAGTCAAAAATGCCTCGCTGAAAGCATTTTGTCATGCTGTGTGTCATGCTTCCTTGTTATAGCATGAAAGTATACAAATGGAAACAAAAATAGTCCCAACAGAAGGCAATTTGTCTGTAGAGCTAATGACATAATGATCGGTAATTAGGGGGCAACATTGTCATAACATTGCACTTCGGAAGCCTGTGTTTCAGCAAAAGTAAAGGAATGACAGCATCCTATCCCACAGACAGAATAGTAACAGGCAGGCACAGATGGGATTTGAACCCGTGATCTTTGGTTTACAAGACCAACACCTTGCCCCTTGGCCACCACACCATGGCTAGATCACATGTTGAAGTGCACTCAGTGGTCTAAACAAAAGTCAAGGTACAGCAAGCATCTGAACAAATAATCTTCAGTTCACAGTTGTTTTACCACACTGCTTGAAATGGAGTCCTGGTAACTTTGCAACAAACAGGTTGACGTCTACAACTCAAAAATATAGGCATGTTTTGGATACCACCTATTGAGTATATTAGGAAATGGAAGGAACATGAATGTCCCCTTGTTTCATAAGAGTCTCCAAGGCAAGATGACAACAGGGAAGGAATCTGAAGAAATGATCTCTCAAAGAGAAATGATTTAGCACTTGATGACAATGTTTTGTAAAGAATTAAACAGAGAACATGAACAAGAAACAATGCAAAGAGGAACAAACACTTTGTGTTCCACTTCATGAATGTAGCATGACAAAGGGAAGAGCAAATGTTGGACCTCACTTCTGAAGAGGTTCCAAGGAAAAAACATAGATGGGGATTGAATGCATGATCATTGGTTTCCAAGACCAACACTTTACCACTTGGCCACCATACCTATGAGAGGCTTTGAAAATACCTAGCTGAAAGCATTTTCTGTATCATGGCTCCTTGTTATAGCATAACAGAATACAAAGGGAAACAACAAGAGTCCCTAATGGTACGAAGGACTTCTTAAATTCGTGACCACACACTTTTTAAGCATCTAATTTAACAGGACTAGAGCAATGACAGCAACGATGGCAAGACCCCCTCTGACAAATAGCAAATCAACATTGAGGAGTACTCACACTAGGCAATCCGTACCGTGCCCGAGCACGTTTGACCCCCAAAGTCCAGTTCGTTTGACTAGTGTGACTACCGCGCCCGGGCCCGCTTGAAGAGGTGGACTCGGGCACGGTACGCATCAGTGTGATCGCTAACCGTGCCCGAGCACGGAACTCGAACATGACGTCAACGATGCGACTGTCCCATTTAACAAATATGTCTGTTATAGCAACAGTTAGCTGGATATCTGTTAGTTACACGCCCAGTCATAATAAATCCTTTAAACCATCATTTGATTAGCTAGCTGACTTCCTTAAATATAACAAGCTGGCTACCTCGAAAATAATCTTTGATTGGTTAGTTCTGTAGATCTATACCTAAAAATAACTCTGTGGATCCCCACATTAGCTTGAATACTAGCAAGCGAAATAAAACTAACCATACTTTACGTGGCGATGTAAGCATTGCTGTTGTCAGGGGCTTAGAGTATCACAAATGAAGCAGCCATCCTGTTTAAGTAGCTAGTCTTCAACAATCGTTCAGATAGGTAGCCTGATAGCTAACTAGCTATGTTTGTCAAATCTATCTCTAGATAGCTAACGTTAGCTCCCCAGCCAGTTAGCGTCGATTATGGAACGCAGCGATTTTCAGTTAATTGTGATGCAAGTATAAGAACATATTTACGGAGGCAGCTGACGTTAAGGGAGGAATTTGGAGCTTTACTCGCTGACTATAATCCACGTTCATCAATAAGGTGACAATCAGACCTGTTATTAACCCAAATATTCTCGAATGAATTGAAAAGTGTACGATTCAAGTAGTAATATAAGATGTTTGTTGTTGTAATGATGACAGTAGCACACACACTAGTAGTAGCCCTAACTGGTTAACATTAACATTTTCGTGATTAGGTTACTGTAATCTGACACAAATCTGACACAAAATATTGGTCTGTCCCTTAGCATAATGACTGAAACGTCAGCTGCCTCCGTAAAAATCTTCTTATACGTGCAGCACGATTAACTGAAAATCGCTGCGTTGCATAATCGATAAATCTATAAAGCACGTGAGAGGGCCGTCTGTCACCGCGCCCAAATGACTCCAAATAAGCCACAAAGCGCTTTTCTTCAACACGAAAAAAGTCGCATCGTGATGACGTAAGCGCAAGCCAGCGGGGGAGTGGGGAACGATCGTGCTCGGGCACGGTACAAGGCAACCGGGCCTAGTGTGTAGTGGTGTTCAAAACGATTCTTTTTAGTGATTCGGTTCCTTTCGTTCAGTTCAATAAAATGATTCGAATCTTTGACTCACTGATTCGTTCATTTCCACATCCGGTCGGGCGGCATACACAAATCTGTAAATAGTTGTATTGCATTTTAAAAGTTACTCTACATTGTTCCAAACATCATGTCCATTTTTAGGCTGCTCTGCAGCAAAACAGCACGTGTGAAACCAAATGTCAATGAAATTAATAATTAAATCATAATATTCATTACGTGAAACTGCACCATGCTATTCAAACAATCATGCAGCCGCAAAAGGTAACAGAACCCCACATTTTAACGCGTATAATAGCCTAAGTACATGTCATTTGTTAAAACTAAAAAAAAGAACTGAAGAAAAAAGAGCCACGCTTATATCCGAAGCGAATAACTTTGTTTTACAAGTTTTGAACTAATGCAGCCCAAACATTTTAATATGCTTGTAGGCCTAGTTAGCGATGTTGTATTTTTATTTGTTGTTAATGTAGACATAGTACGCTACAAATGTGATGCATAGGGTTATGCATCACATATCTGTTTTGTTTTGCAGCCTACTATGTTGATTTGTCAGTATTTATTAATAAGGACTTTATTCACATTAAAAGGAAATGTGATGTCAACATTAAATACATCGTAGCCTACGTAAAATTGCAGTTGTGATAAACAAGAACTGCGATACATTGTGCGCACCTAAAATATGCTACTGCTAAAAATATAAATATAAAATAATATTCCAGGTAGATGAGCAAAATAATATTTAACAATATTTTTAATTCCTATAATAATGTCACAGAAGCGCTCTGATTCCTTTTGCATCGTCACAGTCAATGGTGGATGTAGCCCAAGCCTGCTATACTGAGAACTAGCGATTCTGGCAACACGTAGTCACCAGGTCTTCATAGTCAGTGAATCTTTGGAGTCCGAAGGAACTGGTGAACTGAGGAACTTGTCAGCATAGTCACCAGTTCCTTTGGGTCCGAACGAACTGGTGAACTGAGTACTCAAAGGAACTGGTGAACTGAGGAACTTGTCAGCATAGTCAAGAGTTCCTTTGAGTCCGAACGGACTGGTGAATTGAGGACTCACAGTTCCTTTGAGTCCGAACGAACTGGTGAACTGAGGACTCACAGTTCCTTTGAGTCCGAACGAACTGGTGAACTGAGGACCTTGTCAACAGTTCATCAGGTCAGTAGGTGGAGTTTAGAGTCTTTGTAGTCACCGGATCTTTTGCATTGTCACACTTTGTCACCTGTGCCGAGATGGCCAGTGGGAGGTGCTTCGAGAGTTTTAGCATTTCAGCCATTGGCTAGCTGTTGTCAAGAACATACTCCTGATACAGTTTTGTGATAGGCTGCTTCGTGGAGAGACCGCATATCTAATATCCACTGGAGGGAGAGTTATAGCTGCTATGCCAGCTAATCAGCGCACATGTTTGCAAAGAGGAAGAAACGAATCTTTTAGACTAGGGATTTAGTACACTCAGTTCACCTCAAAGATTCATTCAAAAGGATTTGTTCATTCACGAACTGCACATCACTACTAGTGTGAGTACGCCCTTAGGCATGCACAGGATTTGAATCCATGTCCATTGGTTTATCAGACCAATGCCTTACCGCCATGTCTAAAACCGAGAAAGAAATCCTTTGCTGAAAGCATTTTCTGGGTCATGCTTCATAGCTATAGCTTGAAAGTATACAAATGGAAACAAAAATAGTCCCAATAGTAACAAGAGGTGTGTTTGTCTATAGACCTAAGGACATGATTAGTAATTGGGAGGGCAACACTTTCACAACAATGAACACTGGAAGCCTCTGTTTCAATGAAAGTAAAGCAACAACAGCAAATAGGGAGCACCCCCTCCCATAGGTAGGAAAGCAAAGTTCAGGCACGGATGGGATTTGAACCCATGATCTTTGGTTTACAAGACCAACGCCTTGCCCCTTGGCCACCGCACCCTGTATACTCTGCTAACTGAAGTCTACTGGCTGGTCTGAGGAAAAATCAAGGCACAGCGGGCATTTGAACAAATAATCGTCATTTTTTAAATTTGTTACCACGATGCTTGAAATGGAGTCATGGTAACTTTGCAACAAACAGGTTGACATCTACAATAATCTTCAGCTTACATTTTTTAACCACACTGCTTGAAATGGAGTCCTGGGAACTTTGCAACAAACTGGTTGACATCTACAACTCAAATATAAAGGCATGCTTTGGATACCACCTGTTGAGTGTATTAGGAAATGGAAAGAACATGAATGTTCCCTTGTTTCATAAGAGTCTCCAGGGCAAGATGACAACAGGGAGGGAATCTGAACAAATGATCTCTCAAAGAGAAATGATTTAACACTTGACCATGATGCTTTGCAATGAATGAAACAGAGTCCATGAACAGGAAATGGGTAGATCTTTACAATGCAAAGAGGAATAAACACTTTAAAGTCCATTTCTTGAATGCATCATGGAAAGGGGAGGGCACATATTGGACCTCACTTCTGAAGGGATTCCAAAGGAAGGCACAGATGGGGATTGAACCCATGATCTTTGGTTTACGAGACCAACGCCTTACCACTTGGCCACTGCGCCTACAAGTAGTATCAAAAATGCCTTGCTGAAAGCATTTTCTGTATCATGGCTCCTTATTATAGTGTAATAGAACAAATGGAAACAAGAGTCCCTAATGCTAAGAAAGGACTTGTCTACCTGTATGACTAAGGGCAGATAGTTTGGCAATTAGGAAAGCATCTTAGTTTTGTGACTACACACATTTTAAGCATCTAATTCAACAGGACTAGAGCAATGACAGTAAAACCCCCTCTGACAAACAGGAAATCAAGATTCAAGCATGGATGGCCTTTGAACCTATGAGCTTTTGTTTACTAGACTAATGTCTTACCACCATGCCTACGAGAGGCTCAGAAACACCTTTGCCGAAAGCAATTTCTGTGTCATGCTTCCTTGCTTCTGTGTCATGCTTCTTGCTTTCTGGGTTGTGCTTCCTCATTTCCATGCTTCTTACGAATGGAAATAAAAATGTCCTAATGGAAAGAAAAGACATGTCTACTTATACGGCTAAGGGTAGATCGTTTGGTAATTAGGAAGGCATCTTAAATGATGATGATTGAATGATGATGCACTTTTCCAAGCCTCTGATTCATTATAAGTACAGCAATAACAGGAAACACACCATCCTTCTGGTAGGTAAGCAACATTTAGGCACAGATGGGATTTGAACCCATGATCTTTGGTTTACAAGACCAACGCCTTGCCCCTTGGCCACCATGCCTTGATTACACAAAGCCTTGAAGTCTACTCAGTGTTCCGAGCATCAAAGAAGGCACAGAGGGCATTTGAACACATCTTCAATTCACAATTGTTTTACCACACTGCTTGAAATGGAGTCCTTGTAGCTTTGCAACAAATTGTTTGACAGCTACAAGGCAAAAATAAAGGAATTTTGCAGACACCACCAGTTGAATATAATAGGAAATGGAATGAGCATGAATGTTCCCTTGTTTCATAAGAGTTTCCAAGGAAAGATGAAGACACAGAGGGAATTTGAACAAATAATCTTTTCTCTCAAAGATCAAAGATTTAACACTTGATGACAATGCTTTACAAGGATTGAATCAGAGCCCATAAACAAGAAATGGGTGGATGTCTCCAATGCCAGAATGCATAAACACTATGGATTCTCCTTTCTTGAATGTAACCTTTGTACGGAAAGCAAAGGAGCATTGGACCTCATTTCCAACAAAAGGCACAGACAAGATTGGAACGTATGATCTTTGGTTTACAAGACCAACGCCTTACCACTTGGCCACCATAAAGTTAAAAATCTTTTGCTGATAGCATTTCCGTGTTATGGTTCCTTGCTATAGCATAAAAGGATTCAAACAGAAACACAAACAGTCCCAATGGTAAGAAAAGACTTGCCTACCTATATGGCTAAGGGCAGGTAGTTTGGCAATTAGGACAGCATCTTGATTTACTGATAATGTACTTTCTGGTAGCTTCTGGTTCAACAGAAGAAAGGAATGAGAGGAAACACAGCATCCAACTGGCAAGTAGGCAACATTCAGGCATAGATAGGATCTGAACCCATGCTCTTTGGTTTACAAAATCAACACCTTGCGCCTTGGCCACTGCACCCAGAAGGACCAGCAATCTGAAGTCCACTAGCTGGTCTTGGCAAAAAAAAAAAAAAAAGGCACAGGGCATTTGAACAAATAATCTTCAGTTTACAATTTTTTTAACCACACTGCTTGAAATGGAGTCCTTACAGCTTTGCAACAAACAGGTTGACGTCTACAACTCAAAAATAAAGGTATGCTTTAGATACTACATGTTGACTATATTAGTAAATTGAAGGAACATGACTGTTCCCTAGTTTCATAAGAGTTTCTAAGGCAAGATAAGAACAGAGGGAATTTGAACAAATGACATTTTGTCTCAAAGATCAATGATTTAGCACTCAGCTATGATGCTTTGCAAAGAATTTCCTGTTCATGAGTCCATGAACAAGAAATGGGTGGATCTCTACAATGCAAAGAGACATTAACACATTCAGTTCCTTTTCTCAAATGTAACATGTAAAGGGTAGGGCACATATTGGACCTCACTTCTGAAGGGATTCCAAAGGAAGGCACAGATGGGGATTGAACCCATGATCTTTGGTTTACGAGACCAACGCCTTGCCACTTGGCCACTGCGCCTACAAGAGGCCTTGAAAATTGCTTGCTAAAAGAATGTTCTGTATCATGGCTCCTTGTTATAGCATAATAGAAAATAAAGGAAAATGACACGATTCCTAAAGGTGCATTTTCGAACGCGACATGAAATTTTCGCGCAACGTGAATGCATGAAAAGTCAACGGCAGGAGGCGAATGGGCGGAGCTAATGGCGGCAAAACAACCAGCGACGCGAAATGAGTGTTCGCTTGAGTTAAAAAATGTTCAACTCGAGCGAAAATTTCTCCTGGCAAAAGCCAATCACCTTCAAGTAGGGCTAGAAGCCACGCCCCCTTTCCAGAAATCTCAGGCTGATTGGTATTGTCCGTTAGCTGACGTTTCAAACGTGGACCCATGGTTGTGTTGACCGTTAGCTTTGAAACTTTAGAGACACATTACATTTATTCATTTGGCAGACGCTTTTATCCAAAGCGACTTACATAGGTTACCATTCCTTACAATGTTATCCATTTATACAGCTAGATATTTGCTGAGGTAATTGTGGGTTAAGTACCTTGCCTGAGGGTACAGCAGCAGTGTCCCCAGCGGGGATTGAACCGGTAACCTTTCAGTTTCAGTCCTGCTCCTTAACCACTATGCTACACTGCCGCCCCATTACTTCTTAAAAAAGAGAGTTCACAAGAAATTACAAACTGCTTGTGTGCGGTATTTATATATGCTAATTAACTAGCTAGCTACCAACGCAAGATAACTTAGCTGTCTTCTATTGTGTCTAGCAAACTTGCTAGCAGCGTCGGTGTAATCAAAAATGCTTGCTGTGACGTGGCGCGAAATTCGCTTGTTCATTTTTCAGGCAAGCGTTCAAACCCTGCGCGAGGAAAGCGAAGCGAAATTTCGCGTCGCGTTCGGTTAAAACGCACTTTGTCTACCTGTACAGCTAAAGGCAGAAAGTTTGGGAATTTGGAAGTGGTCTCAAATTAATGACAGTGCAGTTTGTAAGCATCTAGTTCGATAGGAATAGAGGAAAGACAGCAATGATGGTACTTAGGAGAGCAACATTATAACAACGACCCTTGGAAACCTCTATTTGAGTAAGAGGAGAGGAGTGACAGCAAAGATGGGAAGATGTCATTCCACAGACAGGAAAGCAAAGTTCAGGCACAAAGGGGATTTGAATCTATAATCTTCACTTTACAAGACTAACACCTTGCCTTTTGACCACCAAGCCCTGGCTGTGCCTATTGTTTAAGTCCACTCAGTGGTCTGAGCAAAAGTCAAATACACAGCAGACGTCGGAAGAAATAATCTTCAGTTCACTATTTCTGAACCACACTGCTTGAAATTGAGTCTTGGTAACATGGCAACAAACAGGTTGACATCTACAACTCAAAACTAAGGGCATGCTTCGGATATCACCTGTTGAATGTACTAATAAACTGAAGGAACATGAATGTTCCCTTGTTTCAAAGAATGAAATGGAATCCATAAACAAGAAATGGGTGGATCTCTGCAATGGAAAAAATGGAGGAACACTTTGGATTTGAATTTTTATTTTTATTAGATCCAAGCTGACATGGAGGAAGTCAGTTTATAAATCGAAGCAGTAGTACTAGTATTGGTCACAATAGTAAATGTCTTTGAGGTCCCCTTTTCAGCTTTTTAGCTAAGCCGAGCAATCTTTGAAGAAAAAAAAGCTCGACTAATACGCATGTGGCAGAAAAATTACGATGGAGAAACAGAGGAACATAAGGAACGGTGCAAATGGTCCAAGTTATGATATTCTGTGTGTTTACATGAGGTTACATGGTTGAGAAATAAATGTTTGCAAAGTTACATCTCGGGATCAAAAAGGGCCTACCTGCTGCTGCTGCATAGGTATGGGATAGTCCCCACCAACTCCTAACTTGAGAATGGTAGCCTACGCCTACTGTTCACTATTGTTACAGTGAACAGGGTAATCCTATTAAAATTACGATGGTATCTATGTATTGTTATTATTCGCGGTTTTGATGTCAACGGATGTGTATTGGGACATTGTTAAGTGAAAAAAGTGCTTATGAGTAATGTAATCTATTGCAGCACTCTGACACCACTCTTTTCTCCCAACAATATCATCTCCGTTTGCTGATTGGTCGGTTTGCCACAACCCGCTAATGAGGAGAGCTGATTGGCTGTAGATATTTTGTGTTACGCCGCATGGCCACATGCGTTCGTTTGAACGTAAAGCAGTTTGTCAAGAGTTGCACGCTGCTTTGGAAGCTGTTAGGCCTGAAACCACCTCTTTGCATTTACAGACTGGCGATGAAAGTGTTATCATTACTTTAATTTTAGCCAGTACTGTAAAAATACATCTGAAGATGATAATTGAGAATGTGGAAGCTCTGAAGTCATGGCTCGCTAAGCTCTTGGAACCAATGTGAGTGATCAGTGGAAATTACAGTTTTGTTGGACTACCTAAGTTAGTAAGACTTCTAAACATACAAGTTAGCACTGTATTTTGGGTATTACCTTGTGTGTATTATGGAGTCATTGTTTTGTTGCTTATGTAGCTAGCTACGAAATAAATGTCAGATTGGCTCGCCAATAAGACAGCAAACTAACTAGTTTATTTGATGTACCGCAAACGCGTTAACTAGCGTTAACTTATTACATTCGCTAAACCAGGTTGCGGAGTTCGGGACGTTGTAGAGTTACTTAACGGGCTAGCTGGCCAGTTAAACTAAAAAATTTACTACTGTTATTGATCTTGTTCCAGTTACACTCAGTGAAGTACCTACATGCAGTGTATATGAGCTAGCTAACAGTTATATGGACTGTAAGCATGATCCCAAGAGCGGACTGACGAAGAATTTTCTAGCTAGCTAAGCAGCTAACAAACGAACAGATGTTTAACGTTAGCACCAAGAAACACACATTGCAAGCTAGCTTGGTTGTGATGGAGATTACCTGTAGTTATGTATGTACGTGTTTATTTATTTATACATACATTTTGGGTTCCAGTAAATGTCAACCAGAGACAAACATGCCTAGCTGGCTAGCAAGCTCACTGCGAAAACGAAGCCACTTAACTTCACTGCTAACGTTTGCTTGGTTGTTTCAAACAACTCAGCTGGCTGACAGCATTGTTGCATGCTTTGTCCTTCGTTCCATACAAACTACAGGTTGCTAGCTTGCTAAATTAGTTTGTTACTAAGCGTGTGTTCTGGACTTAATCGAGTTTTACTCGCGAATTGTATCTAGCACTAATGAAGCCCTTGAATCTGTGACTGTGAGGACCTAGGCAAGCTTCGTTTCATGTTAACAAAACTAGTTAAACCGTAACATAATTATGGAGTAGTGGCATGGGAACTACTACAAACAAGATGTCGTCAGAGAGACACTATGCTACGAGTGTAGTAGCTAACAGTATTTGGACTCAGCCCGTCTGTTGGCGACAACCACTTAGTCATTAACTTATTGCTAACTAATTTTAATTGTGGACATTTGTCCTCGCGTTTATATGGTTGTTGAATATTAATTTTCGCTGCTTGCATTAATTAGCTATTATAGTCCAAGGCTTGTTGTATAAATTTATTTATCTCAGATCTGTTTTATATGCCTCTTGGGGGGTTTGCAAAATGATAAATATTAAAACGCCTGTATAACATAACCATCTCAGAACGTGTAACAAGTACTTGTTTTGCAGATGTGAGGCAGATCCTGCAGCATTGGCCAACTATGTAGTTGCTTTAGTGAAGAAAGACAAACCTGAAAAAGACCTGAAGGTGCTTTGTGCTGATCAGTTGGATGTCTTCTTACAAAAAGGTAGATATTTTTTAAATGGCTTGTTGAGTCACCATGCATAATTAATTGTTTTCAATGCATGAAGCCATTTCTTAATGATAGTAATCCCAGATCTTGAACAGTTTGTGCTCTTCAAATTATATGACTTTTTAAATACTCACATAACACATCAATGTTTTATTTTATTTTTTTATTTCAGAAACCACTGGTTTTGTAGATAAACTCTTTGAATGTTTAAGCACCAAAACCTACCTGGCAAATCTGGAGTCCCCAACTAAGGAGATTCCAAAGGAAGAGACCAAACTTTCAGTGCAAAAACTTGCAGAGAAAGAAGAGGTACTAGTTTCGTCTTTGCAACATGCATGCATGTAGAAGAAGATGAGTGTGCTTTCATGCAGCATCTGTGCTGTCTGTCATGTAATTGGATGCACAACAAGGCCTTCCACATTTCATTTGGCTCTGCTGTTGGTCAGTGGGAGGGGCGTGGCTAATGCTGTCCTGTGTGTCAGGGTGGAAGCATCAATGCAGACAGGGATGGCCGAAGGAAAAGGAGTCCTCTGAAAAACCGATCTGACTTTAATGAATCAAGGTGAGTCCCCCTCTTTGATGCCTTGTATGCCTCAGCCGCCTTACCAATTATAATGCAATGGTTCTAGTGTATTAAAATACAAGACTGTG